AGATATAACTTAGATTATTGTAATAAACAGTAAATGCACAGTACAAAAACAAGTACCAAGAAAGAACATGCATTAAACTAGAATTGGCAATCAAACCATGACAAACGGAAAACTGAGACAAACCTGTAGTATTACAGTGTGCAATGTACAATACTAAGACAGAACTTGTTTATTTTCGTTAACTATCAATGCACATCCTCCAAAATGAAAAAGATGATATTATTATGGAATGCAATTAATGCACATTGTGTTAAAATACTAAGACAAAACTTTTATTAGATAACACAAGTAGAACATTACTTTGTCCACTATAAGTGGGTTTGAAAATAATTAACAAATGCTTCAATTCAAAAACTGAAAACACATTTGTAATTATTGCACTTGTGTAAAGTAGGTTACGTAGGTGAAACATATGCTTAAAACAAAGTGCCATTTTAAAAACATTTCTCCAAAATTCTCCTGCTATTAATAGAAATTTACCTTTATGATGTGGTATAATAATGTTTTTAAAGGTACACAATTAATACATGGAAATAGGTGCAGCACACCTAATGTGTGGAGAACAAATCACTGTATAACAAAAGAGAATGTAACTTTTTCATACACTGAAGTATAGGCAACATTTTTCGACATGAAGCAGTATAGAGTTAGAACATTTTTACCTTTCTAAATTCTAATACATCAAGTTTAAAAAAAACTTGATTATTGGTGTGAAGGCTGTAAATACTTCATAACTACTAACACCTAATCAAATAGCCAAGTACATGTCTATATAAACATACTTAAAAATAACTGTATATATATATAAATGTACTTGGGAGCAATGGCAGATATTTTTGAACATCTTGAAGAAAATGATTATATTTGTCCAATCAATTAAAAAAGCCATTTTATCAGTGTTCAGGGGAGCAGGACTTAATACATTAAGTATATACTAGCTGCTCAACAGTTAAGATTTTGTCAGGATCTCCATTTATGATGTAATTATGTAAAGACCACTTTCCTGCTAATAATGAGTCATACAAAACAACAAATAAAAAGCAGATCACTCACAAACTAATTTGAGATACTGGTTGAACCATGAAATATTTCTTTCATAAAGTTTCACAGTTTTTGCTCCAAAGTAACTACCACACAGTCATAGAAACATCAGTGATAACATTAAATGCTAGATGAAAGAATATCAAAGGGTAAGAGAGCTTCCATTTTACACACAAAAACCCAACAGGACTAATAAATTAAAAATCTACTATATATATATATTTATACTTGGAATGTGTAATAAGAAATAAAAAAATAAAGCCTTTTCTACACAAGACAGATGTGTGAAAAACAAACAAGACCATTTTTAATCATTTAAGTCTTTTCAAACATTAAAAATACTTTTAGGTTTTTTTCTATACTTTCCATCAAAAAGGTAACTCAACTATAATCACCAACAATTTTAAATTCTTGAGATATACAAAGTGAAATTAGGGTCTTTGAGAAGCAATGAGATTTTCTAAAGACTTTCAGTGGTATGTTACAAAAACATTTCAACAGAATTTTTAAGTTTGTAACTATTATACCACATAAAATGATGTTGAATAATGTTTAGTTTAATTTAACAGCTTTCTACTGATCTTACTTCAGTAGTTTATTATATAATTTAGTTTCTTTATTTTTATTCAGATTTCTAACAAATGATTAGCTCTCACATACATCATCATATACATGCAGATTCCAAAACCTGCCACAGTGGCAGAAAGAACTGGGATTACTTTGTTCATTACTAATTCAATGGCAACAAGGAGTAGTAATGTTTTGTAAAGCTAACATTCCACTATTACATGATGATGAATAACAGTACCATGCATGGGCATCAGTAACATACATACTTAATAGTATACATCACAAGACATCTAAGATGGCAGTGTTTATATGTTAAACAGTTTCCTACATTAGTGCAGTTCAACTGCTAAGTGGAAGTTAAATCAGAAAAGACTAAGGTAATACCCTATGCATAACCATAAATACAACAATAAATTTCATTCATCATATCATCTCAAAGATACTCATTTTATTGATATGTGTAGTTATACTAATGTGTTTATAAAACTCTAATATCAAATCTAATAATACAATTTTTTTTTTCCTCTGTATGTATTAACATCTTCATATTTTCAAACAGTCTTGAAATATTTAATTTACAAAATCCTTGGATATGTTGATTGCAGAAAGAATTCAAAATAGCTCACATTCAGTAATACTCAGGAATATTGAGTTAAACAGTATTAAAAATTTATATGGTAGCCTTTCAATGAACTAATGCCAAAATAATAACTTTTTTTTTTGGTATTTGTAGTTTGGCAAAATGTGACCAAAACCATTTTAATTTTGAATAATTCAAAAAAATGAACCCAGAAAGTTAAAACTGATTGACAGAATGCAGGGTTGTAAAACTGTCCTAGATCAATATTATAGCAATATTTTGATACTATGAAGAAATGCATAAAAGAATTAAATAAAAAAAAACAACAACAAAAACTTTGTCTATCATGTTATTTTCATGTTCATAAAATAAATTGTTTCATTACAATTCTTATATGAATACATTCTTCAGTGCGGTGATTTTTTAAAGTTACGTGAAGGCAAAAGTTTATGACAATAACATTAAACAATATTAGCCCTGAAAAACAATCTGCTTCAGATATTTCAGTTTACTGAAAATTATTTTCTTATCAAGTTCTTTACCACTCACATATTACTTGCTCAAGCCCCTGTCTTCTATTCTTATGCTCCAAAAGTGCCACTTTTCTCAGTCATAAAAAAATTGCCAGAAACTATTAAAAGATATGCCTCATTTCACACCTTCCTTGCTGCAAGTTGTTGAGAGGGAGGGAGGGAGATTTCAGCTTTAGTATAAATGGCACATAGAACTGTTAGGTCTTTACAGTAAGAAATAACTGTGATATGCTGTTAAGTGTTAACAATGCAGTAACACAACATCCATCTTTATATTTTAAAAGTGTTTGTAAGACTAACTGAATAGGAATAAAAGAGAATATTCTTGCTTCTTATACCATATGTGCAACCCACAGTGCCCATATCCTCTAAACCCCCTCCCAGCACACTAACACACATGGAAGATACTTATTTAAGACATATTACAAACATATAGTGTTCATATGTTTAGACATAATAAAACACAAGTTTTAAAACAAATCATAAATGACTGGTGTTTATCATTAACTTGTTATTTTCAAATTAAACATTTTTTTTCATTAGTGTTAGCAATTCTTATTGATAAACTACAAATGTTTTTTATTAACCAAACTTATTAATGTATAAACCTTGAAAAACATAAACATCACAACAGTATGTTAAGCATCAGAAGGTAAAACATATTATAATAAACAACAAAGTTCTAAATCCACAATTTCATACTACATGATAGTGAGTTAAAGACAATCTTCACAGCATGATTTTGTATAATTTTACTTCCAGGATGTAAGATCTCACGATATTATTTGAACCACTGTATATTTTTTGTTTAGTCTTCAGCAATCGGTGACTTTTTGAATACATGCACAATTAACTTGTACGAGATCTTTAAATTTTATGTTAAATACAATGCATCTTATTTTACTATTCAATGGTCAAAATGGATATTTTCTGTGCAAGTCAATCACTCAGTTAAAACTATATGAAATTCTTCATGACTTTGTTGAAAAATATTTTATCAAGTTTTGGTACAAGTGAGAATGTCTACTAAACCAAAAAGTATTTTCTGTTCAGAAAATACTGAGACTAAAATACTAAAAGTTGCATAAAAAAAGTAAATTAATACATGTCTATATTCACGTGGCACATCTATCCTTTTTTAATGTCATTTTAACTTGATAAACAGCTCAATAATGGTCTTGTTTACTTCTTATTTTTTTTATACTTTACTAGATAGAAAAAAACACCATCAAACTAAACATCTATATGAAGGCTCTTGGTGCTTGAGATGAAATCTAGACGAGGTGAAAACAGATGCAGACTACAGCAGTCTGTTGAAAACTTGAATCTCTCTCTTTTTTCTTTAATGAACCAGTACCATATTTCACATGAGTTCTGTTGCCTGTTTACTTGAAGATGGTAACTGAAATCCTGCAAAACACTGTCTCCTACTTTTCGTCTTTTTTTCTATAAAAAGTGACTGATACACCTCTTATTTACTGTCTCTTCACAATGAAAGCTTTTCTTTATATCTACTTTCCACAAAGCCCATGTCATCCATTTTAACACTAGTAACAGTCTCTGAAATTTCTTTTCTTAACATTGAAAAGAAGATTGCTACTGAAAATTCTGTCACTGCTGAATATTAAGTTTCTTTTCTTTTGCTGCTTTTTTACATTGAAAATAAAGTGCAAATTCAAAGAAAAACAGAAACTATAAAGGTTTGCTTATAATTACCAACTGTTTTAAGTTATTACTTTGTTTTGTATAAACATAACTTAAAATTGTTATATTCCGATACATCACATTTATCAATGCTGTTCTGAACAAAAATTAATCTAATGCAGCCATCCAAACAGTCTTAGTACAAGTAGATCAATAAACACCTAAATCATATTGTATGAAAAAACTAATGCTTGTTAACTAAGTGTTAATGTGCTTAAAAGCAATAAAGTTGACACTCAATTTACAAGATTCACTAAGAAACAGATCTATTACATTGAATTTTATGCATGACAATTACAAAAGAGGAAACATTTTCATTCAAATAACACAATATTAAAAAGATAAATTTCAAATACAGTCATACACATACTGTTAGGAAAGATGTTGTGTACATCATCATACATGTTACTTTTAAATATCATAAAAGTACCTTGACTGCATAACTGAGATTTTAAAACAATAACTAGTGGTAAATTCACTTTCTTGAACAACTATTTTTTTTGCCTACAGACCATCACTTAAATTGTACAGACCATCATTTAAATTGTACAAATCAAATCATTTTAATTTACCTTCTCAAAATCTGCAAAGTTGGCAAAATCCTGGTGGGTGCCAGTTGAAGATGCAAAAGGGTCATTTCCTCCTGCTGTTCCAAAGGGGTCAAATGGATCTTGGCCTCTCTGTTCCGCACTAATAAAACTTCCTGATTTTTGACTGCTTCCAAACACAGATTCAAAAGCATCTTGATTAGATACTTCAGTTTTAAAAGTCTGTATTGGTACTTTGGTGGATCCTGATATAAAAGGCTTTGCGGAGTTAGCTGAAAATGGGTCATGTACAGAAGGCGGTAGTGGAGGAGCAGGAGCTGCTCGGGTTGGCCCTGACTTCCCTCCTCCACCTACATGTTTTGGTGGAGCAGGTCTTGGAGGCGGAGCTTTACTCTTTTTAGGTGGAAGTGCTGGGGTAGGACTTTCTGGTCTAGGAGGAGCAATTTGAGCAGGACTGAAAGGATCAGCTCCAAATGGGTCTGCAGCAGCTGAAAACTACAGAAACAAAATGAATAATGAAAGTAACAGTATTCAAATAATGTACAACAACAATGAAAGCTATGACTGCTTAAGGTAAACTTTAATACTATTGAAATAACAAATTAAGGACTTGTTTTTACATTTTGCACTACAGGTGTGGTCCACATATTGTGGCATATTCAATAATTTTATTTTATTTTGCTTGTTACAGTATTCAGTGTAAAAAACTGGCAAAACAAACTGGGTGAAATAATTAATTTTCTATGTAAAATACATAGGGGATTTCAGCACTAATTAGTGGGATTAATTGCAATATTGATGGTAATTTGTATACATGCAGGGGGGGGGGGATTATATTAACCACAGAATTATTGGTGGACTCCATTGGACTTTTAAAAACATTTTAACTTAAGATTCACCTAAAAAAGCCCCCCCCAAGTACTATGATAGTTTTTAGATTCCCCTTTCTATAAGAGCCAAGACTTCACAGAAGTATAAATAAATGTGAAATTTGGTATTCTTTCTTCTGTACATATATTTAACAAAAAAATTAACACAATGATGTAAAGATAACCTATTATCTCTTTCTTTTCCTTGGTTTGAACATGTTTAAAATGTGTTTCATATATTATTTAAAAGTTACACAAGGGCTACCTGCATCAGTCAACCCTAATTTTTGAACTGATAGACTAGAGGGAAGACAACTAGTCAATAGCACATGTAGCCAACTCTTGGATCACTCAATAGAAGAGTGGGATTTGGTCATCACTGTTATAATGCCCAAACAGCCCCAAAGTATGAAATGCGATTTCGTGGCAATGGGATGAGAACCCTGGACCCTATAATACTCAGTCTGGCATGCTAACCACTTGGCATTGCCCAGCTCATGTTTAAATGAACACAGCAAAGAACAAAAATTATGAATGTCACAGTTTCAGCAAAATTAACAAGGAATAAATATAGTAGTATTTCTCCTCTTTTTTTTTTATATTTATTTTTGGTTTGTAACAAAAGTTAGCACTAAAATCTAAGCTAACAGATAAAGAATGTTTATTTTTAAGCTCAGATCTGTAACAACAGACTATTCACACATTGCCCTTCACAAAGATTAAACCTCAATTTTTATCATTATAAGCTCTTAAGTTTTTTCCACTGAAGGGTGGAGACGAAGAAAAAAAAATTTAAATGACGAGCACAAAATCATTTAATACTGTAATAAATCCTTCATCAGAAGAAAAACTATTCATAGGAAAGTTGGTACAAAGATGATGGATCAAACAATTTCAGAAGACAACTAAAAACCCACCACTCAAAATAATTTCCTTTAATAATTCCAAAAGTGCCAGCTTAAAGTAAATAATTGCTTCACACGATATTTCTGAAATATAACAATTTACCAGAGCCAGCTATTTCCAAGCAAAAAATGTTAAAACATAATTTGAGCCTACAAAACATGAACTATCTTCACTTTATAATGTATTATAGTTGGTTGATGACAATTTCTTTGAATATATTTTAACACTTGGTAGTAATATATAAAGATGATTTATTAGAAGTTCCCTACATGAAAAGTGAAAAAACAAAAAGTATTTCATGTACATCATATTTTATTATCTATCTCATTAAAAAACTTTAATTACACATTTCATAATATAAAAAAATGTGCAGCTACTGAAAACAAACTTTCTGTCATTGTTGAAAAATACACTCAAAGGGAATAAAGCAACAAAGCATTTCACAAGGATCAAGGATCATGTTTCAAGACAAAAAACAATTACATATACATTTCAGAAAGAGCAGCTTCGAAGATGAAAAAAACAATTATTAGACAGAACAAGTTTTACAAACACATTTCTAAGACTGGACAATTAATAGTAGTTGCTTGATTAATTAACAGGCTCATTCTGCAGAAATGAAAATATGTAATTATTTTTTCACGAATTGCACCATACAAGTGTCAGAAAGTGACAAATCAATGATTCTAAAATAATTTTTGAGTTAAAATTGTTGAAACATAATTGAATTAACATATAAATTTGATTTTACAATTTGTTTGAAATTTTTTTAAAGAAGTGGAAAAAAAAGAGAGCGAGGGCAAAAAGAAAGAAAGAAAAAACCCAAAGGGAATCTTGTCTTCAGACTTCAGGTATAATAACTGAGAATTAAATTACTTTCTTAATCTTAAACTTTGTACATGAAAATATATCATAAACAATGCAACTGCATCATTTGACAATTAAAAGCAATAAAAGAACTTTTTACTTATCAGTCACCTATTGCAACAATACCATTTACAATTTTCCAGACTTGTTATTTTGGACAATTTAGTATTGTTTTACATCTTTATAAGCATGTTTACAGTAATGCTGTTGTCTAGAGTGTTGTATTTATAACTACACAGTTACTCAAATGCTTTACAACCAGGCAAAAGAAATTAATAATCATTAATCATTTTATTTATCAGGTAAACAAGCAGTTATCCAAAGTAAAAACATAGTACTGTATTTGATATTCTTCTAGTAGTCTAAATGTAAAGTCAAACAACAAAAAAATTAAAAGTATTATCAATAAATTTAGTAAAATAAAATTTTTGATAGTTATAGCTTTTATCTTACAAAGTTTAAAAAACATGGAATGATTAAGAATAAAACTATAAAGTCTATTCATATAATATAGTATAATTGTATTACCAAGTAACAAAGATGTTTAAAACAATAGATATGGATAGGTCAAAGTGTGCATGTCATGACTTTTTTTTACAGTTACGTTCAAAATTTAATCAAAATACTTTATTATCAATGTATGCAAATAAAATATAGTATCAAAACATAGTTTAAAATTCCAATTTTAATACAAGTTCAAATTTCTTAATTTCAAATATTTAAATAAATTATCAACCTTCACTTTTATGTATCATGTGATACTTCTCTTCTCCAAATTCTCCATTTTAGAATTTACTTTCACTCCTATATTACTTTCCAAAAGCTTAGAACTTACACACTTTTATGTTAGATATCTCTGAGTTTAGTGCCATAAAGTGAAACCCACATGCTACATCGCTGCTAGGACATGCTGTCTTTAAACAATGGGAATAATTTTCTCTGATGTGTGCTATTGGATTATTTACAACCAATAGAAGATTTTACTGACTTACCCAGTAAGTCTTACCAATACATGACTTACCAAGACAAAAAGATGCACATCTCAGGAAGGACAGTTCCATGACATGAATTTGTGAATGGTTTAATCCTAACTCTAAAGCAAAGACAATTTTTGTATCACAGGTATTTTTATGTTTGTTTAAAGCCCACAGCACTTCTTAGATGTTTGAAAAACCCAATATGTGAATGTTGTATGAAAAAACAGAAGACTGCTACAGAAGTAAAAAAAATAAAAAATATTTTAAGTTGGGTCATGTTACCAGCAATTTCTATGCATAAATGATAACTGGCTATTCAAATAGAAACAAAATATTACTATTAAGTACTTTTTTTTTTTAAATTATCTTACCTTTGCATCAGAACCAGCTGAAATCTGTGTGGCACTTCCAGCAGTAAAAGGATCAGATGATACTTTAGACAATGAAAAAGAAAAAAATAATTTAAATATTCAAAAATAAAAACTATACATTAATATTTTAACTCTTTAAAAATAATGTCCTTGCATTAAAACAGAAAGTTCATATTTTTAAATTCAATAACCTTCAAACGTAATGAAGAGTGCAAAGGTAACAAAACTTTCTTATTTATTTAGCAGAATTTTTCAAAATAAATCAATACAAAACCATTAATGTCACACAATAATTAAAAATATTCTTTGAACATCACTGTTTTTATATTACGTAGCCAATAATGTCAGAGGGTGTTAACTATTATACGAATTCTATCATGTCATCCCATAAGTTCTGTCCAGATTTTAATTCTTTGAAATTTACTAGTAATTTAGAATGTTTAATGGAAATAA